GGAAAAACAAAATTAAAATGCTTCATGCAGTTTAGTCTTTTAAATCTATCTACTTTTTAACCTGCAACAAAATAAATACAAAATTATTTTGAACAACAAAATCCAGATGATGCCTGTGAGAAGTCTAAAACTCTGTTCATCACCATACTTAGGGAAATGCTGACACAGAATTAATTTACTAGCTGAAATACCTATCATTCCCAATTCTATATAATATAATAAAGCTACATTTATTTGAAGCACATTGCCTTTAGGCCCCCAAAATCTTGTGGCCAACAATAAAGAAAACTAATGAAACCAAAAGCTGTTCTTTGAGAATATTTATTGATATAAAATTTGTTGATATAGCTAGAGATAAACCTCTAGCTAGACTGCTTGAGAAAAAAAAGACACAAATTACCAACACTGGAAATCAGAAAGATGACGTCACTACAGATTCTACAGATATTATAAGGCTGATCCTTATTATAAGGCTGATCCTGGGTATGGTGGCTCACGCCTATAATCCCAGCATTTTGGGAGGCCAAGGTGGGATCAGTTGAGCCCAGGAGTTCAAGACCAGCCTGGGCAACACAGCAAGACCCCACCTCTTAAAAAAAGCAATAAATTTTTTTTTAAATCCCTGTTAAACAAATGAAAAGACAAATCACACAGTGGGAGAAAATATGTGTAAACCATTTATTTGCTGAAGAATTTATCTAGAATACATAAAGAAACCTTAAAATTCAATAATAAGAAAACAACCTTTTTTAAATTTGAGATGGAGTCTTGCTCTTTCCCCCAGGCTGGAGTGCAGTGGCAAAATCTTGGCTCACTGCAACCCCACCTCCCAGGTTCAAGCAATCCTTTCACCTCAGCCTCCCAAATAGCTCGGATTACAAGTGTGCACCACTACGCCCGGCTAATTTTTGTATTTTTAGCAGAAATGGTGTTTTGCCATATTGGCCAGGCTGGTCTCAAACTCCTGACCTCAAGTGATCCACCCACCTCAGCCTCCCAGAGTGCTGGAATTATAGGCATGAGCCACTGTGCCAGCCAACAACTTATTTTTTTAAATGGGCAAAACATTTGTACTGATTTCACCAAAGATATACAAATAAGCACATGAAAAGATACTTGACATCACTCTTCATTAGAAAATGCAAATGAAAATCACAAGAGTCTAGGTGAGTTCCATTGGCAAAGAGGAAAAGAAGCCAATGAAGTGGACAAACTGTGTCACTGGGGTGCAGGACTCAATGGAGAAAGTATGATTTTACTTGCTTCCTAGAAATCTAAGCAGTAAGAGTTCAGCCATCTCCTCATTTCTTCATACATGATGGAAGAAAGACATCTCAGAAAATTCCTTATTTTTCTTAATGTCAGATTCTAAACGTACTATCTAGGTACTAATCAACCCAGTCTTGAGGTCCATCTGACTTATCTTTTCCACCAAAGAAATGCTTACATGCTTGTTACTTTATTGCTGAAGAGTAAAACAAATTGCTCAGCATCTTCTCTTCCACTTCCAGTAGACCTGATCATTAACCCCAGTTTGGGGGCAGATTGTTTTTCAACCCCAAACAGCAACTGGAGGTGCTCCTGTGGCACACAGGAGGACACAAGCATAGTGCCCCCAGGTGTATACACCATGATGCTCTCCCCAAGCACCCATTCCTGTCCCAGTGGAGTGGGTGCAAGAGGCCTCAGAAAATTGTCTAACCTTTCTAGCATAATTGCAGAGGGCTTGTGGTGAGGCCAATATACTGGGCTATGAAAGCATTTTTTGACTTGTAAAGAAATTTCACTTTTAATCTGAGTCTATGATCTCTCTGAAATGCCTGTAAGTTCAACTTAAGATCATATTTATTATCATTTCCATTCTACTTTTACCTCAGAAGTGGTTCTTCAAAATTGTATTCCTGAGTAGATTAAATATCAGAATAATCAAGAAAAGATACAAGTATGTATGAGGCATGTGGTTTCTGTGGAGAACAGTCATTGAGAGAAATGTTGTTTTGAGGCTTTAATAAAGATTTTTTTTTTTTTGAGACAGAGTCTCGCTTCGTCGCCCAGGCTGGAGTGCAGTGGCGCAATCTTGGCTCACTGCAAGCTCTGCCTCCCAGGTTGAAGCCATTCTCTCGCCTCAGCCTCCTGAGCAACTGGGACCAGAGGCACCCCCTACCACACCCATCTAGTTTTGTTTTTGTATTTTTAGTAGAGAGGGTTTCACCATGTTAGCCAGGATGGTCTCGATCTCCTGACCTCGTGATCCACCCGCCTCAGCCTCCCAAAGTGCTGGGATTACAGGCGTGAGCAACTGTGCCTGGCCCTTGAGGCTTTAATAAAGATTTTTAAAAGAGATTTTAGAACATATTGTAGACTGGATCAGTGGAAAGAACTCTTCCTTCCCTGGAAACAGTGAGCGAGGGGCTGACCTGTGACTACTGAAGATTTATTCCAAGGGCTGTTGGGGCAGTTGCCCTTGGAGCTCACCCTGCCTGAGCACACTGCAGATTTCTCCTCCCCGGACTCAGATGGTAGGGAACCAAGTTCCATCCTCAGTTTCCCTGTCCCCTTCTTCTGTACCAGCACCCACAATCTGAGTCACCCCCCTGTCCATCACTGGCCCCTTGGGGTGGGGCTGTTGATTCCAAAGCCACAGCTCAGACTGGAGAGCTCTGTATGGCATTACAGGACAGGTTGAGGGGGAAACTTGAGGTCTGAGCAATGCTTAAGGAAGGAGGCAGGAAGGCCAGAGAACCAGGCCTAGTGGAGAGTCAAACCCAGGGCCTTCTTTGCTGTGCATAAGTATTAGTAGGGGCAAGCATTTGAATGAGAATTGCTGTATTAAGGGACATGGTTGACTACTGAGACACACATAGAAGGCTAACAAAACAAGGAAATAAAAGGTATTTTTTAATATTGATCCTTAATTATGTGTCAGATCTGCTTGTTTTATTGTAACTATAAACTATTCAAGTTTAGCGTTTATCATTTTTTCATTCATTCATTCAGAGACAGGGTCTCACTGTGTCACCCAGGCTGGAGTATAGTGGCACAATTACGGCTCCACTGCAGCTTCGAACTCCTGGACTCAAGCGATCCTCCTCCTCCGCCTCCTGAATAGCTGGGGCTACAGGCACGTGCCACCACACCTGATTAATGGTTTTAATTTTTGTAGAGAAAAGGTCTCACTGTGTTGCCCAAGTTGGTCTCAAACTCCTGGCCTCAAGAGATCCTTCCACCTTGGCCTCCCAAAGGTGCTGGGATTACAGGAGTGAGCCACCGGCCCAGCCAGTTTTTATAATTAGTTGCTCATATTACATGATCATAGGAAACCCATGATTTCTTATCCCTTCATTTTCACTGAGGAGAAAACTCATACTTAATACAAATGCTTGCAGTTCTAAAAACCTGGAGTATGGCACACTACCTAGCTATTCAGAACCATGTCCCATGGAAAGCTCTGCTGTCCTGTGGAGATCTGATGCAACAGGAAGGCATTGGCTCACATCAAGGAAGCAGTTTCATGGTTTGCAGGCCTACTGCATAGGAGTCAAACTTTTTTAATGCATCTTCCTAAAATCCATTTTATTTTGCATTTCTTACAAGCTAAAATTTTAGTTCAATTAAAAAGCCAATAAGAAAATGTAGGAAAAAAAGCCCTTTAATCATCACAGAAAACCAGGTTCCTAACCAGATGATAAATTTTGATAAATCAATGTCCAGATCATAACTTTAAATTCCCATTGGTCCACTGGACAGTCAACATACTACACACATGCCTGCTCACTCTGGCTGACCCAGCTGACTGACTACAGGGCCGTATTGCCAAATTAAACTTGGAGGAGAACGCTGACTTTTAGACAGCTTGCCTTAGTGTTCATTTGAACCAGGTTTTAAGCAAGTGCAGTTATGACTGGAACTTATTTCAACCAAACAAAATTTTCTAGCTGGTCATGAGAGATTGTTTGAGCAATATAGAGGTGAGATTGCGAGGCGGGCTGGGGAGTTTCACAGGATCATCAGCCTACCCTCTGCCAACGTGAGATGGCTCCACAGTCTGTATACAGTTTGCCTAAAGCATGCTATGGCTCAATGACCATTCTAAGCTTTTCCCAGCCTTCTACCTCCCATGTCATTCACTCATTCCTTTTCCTGTGCCCAGTGACCTCACTGCCTAATTTACTGATGAAAAATTGGAGCTAAAAGGTATTAGCTCCTGCCTTTTCCCTTGGCACTTGAACTGTCTTTCTCTTGCCTACCTTTCAGCCCTCCCTGTTTCCAAAGCTGTTCCCTAAATCTGGGCCCAAGCCTCATTCATTCTTGCTTTCCTAGGATCTTATTATCTTAGTTATTAGCTAACAAATTTTTCTAAAATGTGTTCTGTTGGCTCCTTCTGGATTGCCTTCAGACACACACACATTTCTTTTGACCAGAAAACATCTCTTGCTGTCCCCTTAAGCCACCACCTTCTCTTCTCAATCCTTTTCATTGCTAAACTTCTGTAGGAATAGCTTTTCTTGTTGTATGTCACACTATTACACCACAGTTACCTGGAAAGCAAGAACCATAATTTAATATATATCTATCACGTGCCAAGCACAGTATAATGTAGTGAGTGGGGTAGAGACTTTGGAGCCTAATAAGCCAGGGTTAAATTTGGGCTCGCTAATTACTGTTTAATATCATCGGGTAAATGTCTTAATCTCGCTGATCCTTTGCTTTCTCAATTGTAAAGTGGAGATAATAATGCCTCTCTTGCTATACATAGAGATTAAATGAAATTATGTTTATTAAAAAAAACAAAAACAAAAAACCCTCATCTGGTGTCTGGCACATAGTAAGTACTTGGAAAAGCTGGTTCCCTTCCCATCTCTACTCATGGTAGGGATTCAGGTATTTGTTGAGTGAATGACTGAATGGTCTCCTGCATGTTTCAGTTGAGCCTTCAGTGGCCTGGCATCCCTTTTTGTTCTGTTTGATTCTTACTCTATTCTTTGCCTTGTGTGTTTCAGGTTCACAACCAGTATCCAACTGAGTTTGAATTCAATCTCTATTACTTAAAGTTCTTGGCTTTCCACTATGTGTCTAATCGCTTTAAAACATTTCTCCTGGATTCAGACTATGAAAGATTAGAGCACGGTATGTGTTTGTATGCCCTTGTTTCATCTTTTTTGTTGGTTCTGCATGTTTTTAATGAAAATTCTAATAATGTAACTACTCCCAAGAGTGACAAGCTGAGTTAAGGTTTAACTCTGAACTATGAATGTAGAGTGGATAAGTGGCCAAATTCTGAAATTATGTACCATGTTAGCTCTTAGCAGGCGGTCATTCCTATAGCATCTTTGTAAAATTAAAATGTTTATTATTGTGATACCTCAAAGTGATCACACTGTTTGAGAAGGAACTTTGACTCATAGTTTTTCCAACCCTGATGCACTCTGGTAGGAAGGGTGCCTGCCCTTGGAGACAGCTTGAATAGCAGCTAAGACCCTGTGGTCTGGACCAAACAGACCAGGGTAAAATCCCAGCACCAACTGAGTATTTTGGGGAGGGGTTAAATGCCTCTCTGAGCCTCAGTTTCCTCATCTTTAAAACGAGGACAGTGATACTATCCCACCTGTCAGGGCCATGATGATCACATGAGAAAATAGTTGTGAACTCTTCACACAGTCACTTAGCCTCTTAGCACAGTCACTACCGCATAGTAAGCACTCAGTAAATTTTAGACATCGCTAGCATTATTAATGATAGTGATGAACTTTTTTTTTAATAGCAGTGATAGTTGTAATGAGTAGATTCTGAAAGTCAGCCCTGGTAAAAACATTTCCCAAGGGGATTTTACATTCTTTTGTAACTGTTACAGGGGGAGAGGAAACACATGACTATTTTTGTTAAGACAAGCAAACAAAAACCAGCTCTGTTCAATGTATTATATGCACTCAATATCATAAAGAGAACTCTTAATTCCAAGAAAATATTTACTGATGTTCTCAGTTTGAAATCTGAAATCAGGAAATACTGCTTTCCAGGGCATCCTATTGAAATTATCTAGTATGATATTTCATACTTTTGATAAGGTAAAGAGCACTGGTGAGACCATTTCCCATCCTATTTATACTTCCAGTCCTTTGTTAACTCATGGAATTGTTATTCTTCACATCACAATCAGAAACCTTAATTTCTAAAGCATCTGCATACTGCTTATTGGGAAGGTAGTAAGTATAGTTGGTTACAACTGCCCCAGGCCTGATCTTTTTTTTTTCCTTTTTTATTGAGATTGAGTCTCACTTACTCTGTCTCCAAGGCTAGAGTGCATTGGTGCAGTCTTGGCTCACTGCAACCTCTGTCTCCCAGGTTCAAGCAATTCTCCTGCCTCAGCCTCCCGAGTAGCTGGGATTACAGGCGCGTGCCACCATGCGCAGCTAATTTTTGTATTTTTAGTAGAGACAAGGTTTCACCATGTTGGCCAGGCTGGTCTTGAATTCCAGGCCTCAAGCAGTCTGCCTGCCTTAGCCGCCCAAAGTGCTGGATTACAGGCATGAGCCACCGCGCCTGGCCAGGTCTGGTCTTAAGTGGACTGACCTATACCTACAGGGGTCACCATGTCACTCAGCTTTATCACTGAAAGGAACAACATGTACAAATATTGGTGGGAGTAAAATGCAGGTATTTGCCTCCCTGGAGTAGTTGTGTTTTTTGGGGGTTTGTTTTTTTGTTTTGTGGGGTGGGGGGGTTATTTTGTTTTGTTTTGTTTTGTTTTTGAGGCAGGGTCTTGCTCTGTCTCCCAGGCTGGAGTGCAGTAGTGGCAGGATCTCGGCTCACTGCAGCCTCTGCCTCTGGAACGCAAGCCATCCTCCCACCTCAGCCTCCTGAGTAGCTGGGACCACAGGCACGTGCCCCCACGCCCACATAATTTTTTTATTTTTTGTAGACATAGGGTTCTGTCATGTTGCCCAGGCTAGGTTTTTGGTTTTTTAACAAAGCAGTTTGTTTTGCTGAATTAAGCTGATCAGCAAATTACCTTAGCAGCATGCAGATGTGGCCAAAGACCAAGGCTTCTCCTATAGCAGATGACTGTTCTCTTCATTAGAGAAGCAACAAGGTCTAGTGCAGTGGTTCTCAGACTTGACTGAACATTATAATCACCTGGGGAGCTTTTAAAACTTCTAAGGTCCAGGCAACATCCCCAACCACTGAAATCAGAATCTGTGATGGTAAGGCCCAGGCATCAAGAGCTTTTAAAACTCCCCAGGTAAGGCCAGGCACGGTGGCTCAAGCCTATAATCCCAGCACTCTGGGAGGCCAAGGTGGGTGAATTGCTTGAGGCCAGGAATTCCAGACCAGTCTGGCCAACATGGCAAAACCTCATCTCTACTAAAAATACAAAAATTAGCCAGGCGTGGTGGCATGTGCCTATAATCCCAGCTATTTGGGAGGCTGAAGCACAAGAATTTCTTGACCCCAGGAGGCAGAGGTTGCAGTGTCCAGCCTGGGTGACAGAGTGAGACCCTGTCTCAAAAATAAAGAATAAAAAATAAAAACTCCCCAGGTGAGCCCATTATGCTGCCAAGTCTGAGACCCACCACTGGTCCCACAGGTAGAGCCATAGATCAAGAGTCAGAAAATGTCAGTAACTTTGGGTAAATTACTTCATCTGTTTCCGCATCTGAAAAACTAAATAGCCCTGCCTATCACACAGGGCTGTTGAAAAGGTTAAATAAAATGATGCAGATAAAAGGATACATTTGGTATATATTGGAAGATTATCATGATTATTGGAAAATATAAGCATTTCCATCCTATGAAACACGTTTCCTCTTAAAACTCAAAAACACAGGCTGGGTGCAATGGCTCACACCTATAATCCTAGCACTTTGAGAGGCTGAGGTGGGCAGATTGTTTGAGCCCCGGGGAATTCAAGACCAACCTGGGCAACATGGCAAAACCCCATCTCTTCAAAAAAAAAAAAGAAAAAGAAACACACAAAAAATAGCTGGGTGTGGTGGCATACTCCTGTAGTCTCAGCTGTTCAGGAGTCTGCGGTGGGAGGATCCCTTGAGCCCAGGAGGTCAAGTCTGCAGTGAGCCAAGATCACACCACCGCACTCCAGCCTGGGTGACAGGGTTGAAACCCTGTTTCAAAAACAGCAACAAATAAACATGCATTTCAAATCCTAGAATGTCATTGCCGAAGGCTCAGTAGAAATCATCTACCCAGCCTCCTCTCTGGATGTTAGGCCACCTATCTAATCAGCATCAAAGAAGCCTGGTTTTGTGTCCCTAGTCCAGGCTAGGTTGCCTACTTGAGGTCGGTTCCTTCTTGTGTGCTGGTAGATGCACTCGTTATCAAGTCTACAGTGAAACCTTGTTTAGGAACAGCTGTGGTAGCTACCCTCTATATGCCAAGATGATAAAGTAAGTAATCTCAACCACTGCTGGTAGAATTCATCAGTCATAATTTTTTTTTTTTGAGCTGGAGTCTCACATTGTTGCCAGGCTGGAGTGCAGTGGTACAATCTCAGCTCACTGCAGCCTCCACCTCCTGGGTTCAAGTGATTCTCCTGCCTCAGCCTCCCGAGTAGCTGGGATTACAGGTGCCCGCCACCATGCCCAGCTGATTTTTGTATTTTTAGTAGAGAGAGATTTCACCATGTTGGCAGGCTGGTCTCAAACTCCTGACCTCAAGTGATCCACCCGCCTCAGCCTCCCAAAGTGCTGAGATTACAGGCGTGAGCCACCGTACCACGCTGAGTCATAATTTTTAAGATCTTTAGCAGAAAAACTTAAACACAATGAATTATCCTGTGTCCTGCCGGGCGCGGTGGCTCAAGCCTGTAATCCCAGCACTTTGGGAGGCCGAGACGGGCGGATCACGAGGTCAGGAGATCAAGACCATGCTGGCTAACACGGTGAAACCCCGTCTCTACTAAAAAATACAAAAAACTAGCCAGGCAAGGTGGCGGGCGCCTGTAGTCCCAGCTACTCGGGAGGCTGAGGCAGGAGAATGGCGTGAACCCGGGAGGCGGAGCTTGCAGTGAGCTGAGATCCGGCCACTGCACTCCAGCCTGGGCGACAGAGCGAGACTCCGTCTCAAAAAAAAAAAAAGAATTATCCTGTGTCCTAAAAGTTTAATATGTTGATTATTACATACTGGATTATGGGGTTGTAATTTGATAGTATTTGGCACTAGCTGTCTGATTTGGACTGTGATAGTATTTGGCACTAGCTGTCTGATTTGGACTGTGATAGTATTTGGCACTAGCTGTCTGATTTGGACTGTTTTTAAGATGTTCCTTATATGTGTACATGTTGCCCTAAGCCAGCCATATGGATATTGTAAGAAAAGTCCACTGGACTTGGTTCCAATTACAAGGTGTTACAATAGCCCTGAGGAACAGAGGGCCAGGTATTGCATCTCCTCTTCTGCTTTCAGCTCATTCTCTTTCTGTCTACAAAGGTGCCTAGAGCCTATTTCAACTGGGGCTGACTACCACACAGCCTTTCAGTCTAATCCATGCCTCAAGGCGCCAAATGGAGCAATATACAAGGTGGCTGTCCAAATCTTACTGCGACCCCTAGAGCAGTCGCAACTTTGGACATTGGAGTCACTTGAACTTTTAAAATAACTAATATCTCGGGCCATCCCCAGAGATTCCGATTTAATTGGTCTGAGGTGAGACCTGGGCATTGGGATTTTTTTAAAGCCCTTGGTTTTTCAAATGTACATCCAAGGTTGAGAACTACTGCACTGGACCCTGCAGTTAAAAGGTAGAGAAGAAACTGTTAATTAGTCTTAGGGGCCCCACATATTATGAATTTCATGCCATCTGGGGCTTGAGACATTTTTTTTTTATATATATATAAACTGGTAAAATGCATGTTGATTTTGACTGAGTCACTTCATTCCAAGCAAGACACCACTGCTGAGACACCCTTCATGGCCTTTTAAAGAACTACTTTTTGCCTCACCCCAACACATTTTCCTCCCTATTAAAAACAAAGTGGGCTCATGTTAGTAATAGATTGACTATTTGAAAAAGGTATAAAAGTTCTGCTTTTATTTTTAAATCACCCAAGGACACAGACTACACCCTTCTGTCATCTAGAGTCTCAGTAACCATGATCTGTGGTATATATAAACTCCTAAACAAGAAAACACTTTAAACGGCTTCATAATAAACAGCCAACAACTTAAAAGAGAAACATAAAATTATGGTTTTTACTGAGCTTCATCGAATCAACTCTGAAGTCCTTCCATTTTCTCTTGAAAACTATAGACCGCCTCCTGCATGGACTTCTTTGAATCTAGATATAGATGCAGGAGGAGGTTTGGAAGAGTCATGATTGATAGACTGCTGGTTGCTGAGGCAAACTTCATCAGATGTTTCCTCCATCTGGATTTGTTTGCCTATAGCTATGAAATTCATTCCTGTCTTTAGCTTTGCAGTTATTTTCTAACGTTTTTGCACAAATGTTGCTGTTTTTAAAGCCATAAAAAAAATCCACTTTTTTATCTGCTACATGCATCATACTTTTTTTTTTGCAAAGTGTTAAAATTTATTGAATTTTGTTTTGTTGGATTTTTTTTTAACTTACAGGAACTTTATTTGATGATAAAGGAGAAAAGCATGCCAAAAAGGGAATCTGTATTTGGGAGTGTATTGACAGAATGCACAAGAGGAGTCCCATTTTCTTTAATTATTTATATTCACCATTGGAAATAGAGGTAGAGTAAGAAATCATTTATGTTTCATTTTCTGAAATTTTGTGTTAAGGTTTTCCTTAGTTTTAACATATATAAGCTGTTTAAGCTTTTTATAAACATTGGACTAGGTTTCATACCAAAAAGCTATGTCAAAGTTTAGATATTATAGTTTTGGGTTGTGACACAAATGGAGACTGTTCCCTAAATTCTTGCCACAAAAATTAAGAGCTGGCTCCCAAAACCTAGAAGGGAAAACTTCTAGAGAATCAAAGCGAGACAACTTTCCCCAGAAAGAAAGAACTAACAGAATTTGAAATATCAACAGGTGGTCTAAGCTGAAAAACCTTAAAATACTTTAGAAAAAGTTTCTTTAAGTCTATCTGTACCAAAGCCATGGAAGGACCCCTATAGGAAGCAGAGATGTTTGGAGCTGGGCCCAAGAAGGATAACATATCTCAAGGCAACTGTGCCCCACCATGCACATCTACATAACACACGCCCTGGAATGGAACAGATTGGTCTGATAAGCAGTTCCACCATTACTTAGGGCCAAGAGAGGTCCCTCCCCTGGGCCCCAATCATAGAACCCTAGTCTGGCCTTCCTCCAGCTGCATCCTCCTCATGAGGTGAGGAGTACAAGAAACCAAAGGTACATGGTTAGATGCCCCTCCTTCATCTAAACCATGCTCTGTCTGGGCACTTCAGAATTCTTTGCCCAAATTCAGGCTGCTCACCAGGCTACTTCTCCAAGTCAGTCTCCTATGTTAGTACATGGACACCAAGGCCCAAAGAATGGCAAAAAGTAGCAGGTTTGACAGAGTGGACAGAGTTTGACTTTGTGGGCTGGGGTATACATAATCATTCATGGAAGACCCTTAGAATAAAGATAGGGGTGGGAGGAGAAGAGAGGCCAAGGACAGGGGGCTGGGGCCAGCTCTCCCAGTGCCACCACTTGTTAGTATAAAATTCTGAGGAATCCAAGAATTCTCTATTGAACTTGACCTTCTAGGTCATTAGGAAGTTACATTTCTCAATGTAGGAGGGAGGATTGGAAGATGTTTTATTTAATAATTTATCTTGATGTATGACTTTTAAATTAAGATTTAGACATATGGTATTTGAACTCCATTCATACTCTTCCTCCTCTGGACTCTACAAATGTTAGGGGTTTGCCTGACAGTGAGCTTGGGGTACTTTGGGGTCAAGATGAAACTATATTTCTGTTTTAACAGGCTCTAAAGCCCAATGTAAATGTCTCCAGCCTCAAGAAGTGGGATTACTACATAGAAGAGACCCTGTCCACAGGCCCTTCCTATGACTGGATGATGCTAACCCCCAAGCATTTCCCCTCCGAAGACTCTGACCTGGCTGGAGAAGCTGGGCCACGGAGCCAGAGGAGAACAGTGTGGCCATGCTATGATGATGTCAGCTGTACTCAGCCCGATGCTCTCACCAGCCTTTTCAGTGTAAGTCAACTGTAGACACACACCTGGGGCACCAGGGGCCCTGGAGGCACGAGGCCAGAGGAACCAGGCTAAGTTAAGAATGGTTTACAAACTTCTGAACATGGCTCTGCTTACTCTGGGCTAGGGTTATGGTAGCACCCTCCGTGTATGAAGAAACCAGATTTGCTTCCTATCAACAGTGGGGGACCAGGCTTCACTACTGGAAAAGAGTCTCAATAAAAGTGATTTTCCCCAGCACTTTGGGAGGCCGAGACGGGCAGATCACGAGGTCAGGAGATCGAGACCATCCTGGCTAACACGGTGAAACCCCGTCTCTACTTAAAAATACAAAAAACTAGCCGGGCGAGGTGGCAGGCGCCTATAGTCCCAGCTACTCGGGAGGCTGAGGCAGGAGAATGGCGTGAACCTGGGAGGCGGAGCTTGCAGTGAGTGGAGATCACGCCACTGCACTCCAGCCTGGGTGACAGAGCAAGACTCTCAGAAAAAAAAAAAAAAAAATGATTTTCCAGCATTACAAGGAAGCAATCAAGCAAATGGAGCAATTTACTCCTTCCGGCAGCTTCCCAGCTGTTTCAGTTGCCTGAACAGCCTTAGTCAGGCCTTGGCTGTGGCTTTTGTGGGTGCTTTACTTCCTCTGGTCAGAAGTGTGGGTGGTCAGTGGCCTGATGGGAGTGCTGCCAACCATCTTCTGCAAGGAATGTTCCGGAACCAACCCCTCCTGGCAGTAGCCAGCCTGAGGAATAGCTTTGAGCCCTGATATAGGCCAGACACTTCCTAAAGAGTCTTCCCGCTCTGGTTTCCTGACCAGGAAGAGTATGCTTCAGTAGTCATACTGTCACAGAGGCAGCTGCCCTGATCTCCAGCTTCTCTGTCAGAAGGTATATCTGTTTCCTTGGGTATTTCTTGGCTTATTCTTTCCACATCTGGTTTGAATCATCAGAGTTGAGGGGTTCCTCCTGTCAAGGACTGGCTTCTCATCTACCTCAGCTATTAGGGCTGGGCCATGGGCCAGTGCTTGACCTCTTGCTTTGGCTATCAGATTTCCCATGGGCTGCCCAAGGGTGCAGATGTCTGAGATACATATTTCACATTCTAGTATGTAAGCTATCTTGTACAAAAAGGCCTAGTTATAGGTCCTAATAAACCATCTTCGCCACAGTGCGGCACACCAGCTAGAGCTCTCACCACTATTCCTGGCTGGGAGACCTCTCAGACCCATGTCCACCACTTAACTGCCCTCTGGCCATGCTGCTCATCTGGGCCTAGTACAGAAGCAGTATGGCTTTGGGGCACATCCTGATTTCTATGAAATACTGATCAGAAAACTTTTCATTTCTTTGCAGGAAATTGAAAAATTGGAGCACAAATTGAACCAAGCCCCTGAGAAGTGGCAGCAGCTGTGGGAAAGAGTAACCGTGGACCTTAAAGAAGAACCAAGAACAGATCGCGTGAGTTGGCAATGCCCCTTAAGAGCTACTTCTGAGCTTTCTGAGGGTGCTAAGTCAGGTAGAGCCCACTGCCACAGGTGACAAGACCCAGCTGGGTTTATGGCCAGAAGGAAGGGTGGAAAGGGGAGGGGTCATGTCCTGGGGGTCCAGGGCAGAAAGTTCCAAATGACTGAATACTTCATGAGTGTCTCACTTCACCACAGTGACATACTACTTATGTCTCAGCACCCCAAATCCAAGGGAAATTATTGGGTTCTTTCCTGTCTCACTGCCTGTGTGGTTTCAGCGGATCTTCTACCACATGAGGGAGGAGGGGAATGCCAAGACCATGTTTGCTCCACAGAAAGTATTTTAAAACAACAAAATATGCCACTTTGTGTTGTTCACAATCCCTTTTCTGTTTCTGACTTAAGCAACATTTATCATAAAAATATTTTAACGATTGGGCAAGGTGGCTCACGCCTATAATCCCAGCACTTTGGGAGGCCGAGGCAGGCAGATCATGAGGTCAAGAGATCGAGACTATCCTGGCCAACATGGTGAAACCCCATTTCTACTAAAAATACAAAAAGTAGCTGGGCGTCTGTAATCCTGGCTACTCAGGAGGCTGAGGCAGGAGAATCGCTTGAACTTGGGGGGCAGAGGTTGCAGTGAGTGAGCCGAGATTGCACCACCACACTCCAGCTTGGTGACAGAACAGGATTCCATCTCAAAAAAAAAAAAAAAAGAAAGAAAAAAGAAACTGATTAAATGGACAGATTTAAAAAGTAAATATATATATATATATATATATACACGAAATACTCTGTTTTCTGCTTCTCATACCCCATTTCCTATTTCTGATCTAATATGGTACACACCTTCGCATCCTATTTAATCCACTGTGAGGGAATGGTATTCCCTCTCCTACGTGAGGAACAGGCACAGAGATCATCCAGTGGCAACTGGTAGAGCCACCAATCAAACCCACATCAGACTGGCTCCAAATGCAACAGAAGGGAAATTAGGATAGATGAGTGTTCTGAAGAACAGTTCAGGAAGAAGAGGCCAGCAGGTCAGATGTTGCAGAAAGGTCAAGAAGAATGGAAGGTAGAAGAAAACCTTTGTGGTAAAAAGAGACCATCTGGGGCTCTATCTCTTAACCTCAAATAGCAATTCAGGAGCTGTTATCAGACAGACAACAGGTGGGTGATGCCTTAATGCTTTTTTGTTAGAAAAATAATAGTTTATTGATTTTTTCTGATAATGAAAGTAATAATGTTCATTTTTTTGAAAGAACACACAAAGTTATAAAATAGAAGATGAGAATCACCCACAATTTATAGCCTAGAAGTAAACCACTGTGCTATCAAACTTGTTTTACCATACAAATTCACATATAAAAGAGATTTACTAGACATACTATTTTAAACCTGCTTTTTCGGCCGGCAGCGGTGGCTCAAGCCTGTAATCCCAGCACTTTGGGAGGCCGAGGCGGGCAGATCACGAAGTCAGGAGATCGAGACCATCCTGGCTAACATGGTGAAACCCCGTCTCTACTAAAAATACAAAAAAAAAGAAATTAGCCGGGCGAGGTGGCAGGCGCCTGTAGTCCCAGCTACTCCGGAGGCTGAGGCGGGAGAATGGCGTGAACCTGGGAAGTGGAGCTTGCAGTGAGCCAAGATCGCACCACTGGGGGCGACAGAGCGAGACTCCATCTCAAAAATAAAAATATAAATAAAATAAATAAAATAAACCTGCTTTTTCACTCCACATTGGCATACATGTCTTTCCATCTGTCACTGTGTGTAAACCAATGTCTGCCAGGCGCACTGTAATCCCAGCACTTTGGGAGGCTGAGGCAGGCAAACCACGAGGGCAGGAGTTTGAGACCAGCCTGGCCAGCATAGTGAAACCCCGTCTCTACTAAAAATATAAAAAATTAGCTGGGCATGGTGGTGTGCACCTGTAATCCCAGCTACTCGGGAGGCTGAACCCAGGAGGCAGAGGTTGTAGTAAACCAAGATCACACCACTGCACTCCAGCCTGGGCGACAGAGTGAGACCCTGTCTCAAAAAAAAAATCATCTTTATTTTTTTTGAGATAGGGTCTCACTCTGTCACCCAGGCTGGAGTGCAGTGGTGTGATCATGGCTCACTATAGCCTCAACCTCCCGGGTTCTGGTGATCATCCCAAGTAGCTGGGACTACAGGCACACATCACCATACTCGGCTCATTTTTAAAATGTTTTTTGTAGAAATGGGGCTTCATGTTCCCCGGGCTGGTCTCGAACTCCTGGACTCAAGTGATCCACTCACCTCGGCCTCCCAAAGTGCTGGGATTACATGTGTGAGCCACCACGCCTGGCCATAGCAACATCATTTTTTAATGGCTGTCTAGAATTCCACTGTATGGAAATGCCATAATTTGTTTAATGTCCCTAATAATGGACGGGTAGGTTGTTTCCAGTTTTTTACCATGATAACTAACTCTGGGACTGATAGTGTTGTACATTATCATTGCTTATTCGTCCAGTTTTTTCCCTGAGATAAATATTTGTAAATGAAATGTTCCAGTCAGTGGCCTAAGTGTCTGTAAAGGTTTCCTAGCTCCTGTCCTGTCTTTTTCAGTCCCAAAGACACCTGTCGAGGTCCCCAGGAATTGTGTCTACCAACCTACCTTCCTATCAGAAGAGATCTCTGCTACATCTCCCAGACAGCAGCATGGGGGAGGAACAGAATTCCAGCATCTCCCCATCCAATGGAGTGGAGCGAAGAGCAGCCACGCTCTATAGCCAGTATACATCCAAGAACGAGGAAAACAGGTGACATGCTGAATCCTGCGCGGTGTGCTGAAGACTTCCCCACACCACCTGAGGCTGAACCACAGGTCCCTCAATAAGCTAGGCCTGTGCAGTACAGTCTTTTATAAACTTGAAATGGATTTGCTTTAACTTTTGTAATGTTTTAGATGTCTCTTTGAAAAGAAAAAAAAAAATTACAACTAAAAATAATGCCAAGAGGTTGTAGTTATTTGTAGTTGAGTCCTGATGGCTCTTATCTCCTGTCTGCCAGAACGTTTGAGGGAATATGTGTTAGCCAGCACTTTGTCAGTGGCAAACATCCGAAATCCAGCTTATGCTAGCTGAAGCAAAAAGGAGTTTACTCACATAAACTAGGACAGTCAAGGGTATGCTAGCTTCTCACACAGTATCTTCTATCCATTTCCCGGCTCTGCTTTGCCCTCTCTCTGTGTTATGTCAGTCCCAACATGGCACAAAAGATGGCTACTGATCATTCCAAGCCTCACAGATGTGGTAATCCCAGCAGAAAGCAGCAGTCTTTCCCCAGGGGTCTAGTAGCAAAATTCCAGGGAGAACTCTATTGGCCATTTTTGGATCATCTAGGGGAAATAGAGACTTGACAAAAACAACAGACATCCCCTCCCCTTTACAGTATTTCGTAAGTGTAAATCAAAATTAACTCTCCTGTCATCATTTCTTCTAGGTCCTTTGAGGGAACACTTTATAAAAGAGGGGCTTTGCTGAAAGGTTGGAAGCCCCGTTGGTTTGTTTTGGATGTAACAAAACATCAGGTAATACTCTTAAAGCCAAAAGAAATTATTTCTGTCTAGGCTAGTCCCAGTCCCCGGCTATTATGTGGCTCTAGCAGACAGATTCCTCATGTACAGACTGCTTTTTTAGTGCCTCTCATATGCAATCTGGAGGCTCCTCAAGGGCCCCAGATGTCCCCGAGTAAGGGCAATAGCCTTCCGAGGAAGTTTCCCAAGTAGCTCGGCCTGGTACTTGCAGCTGAGGCAGCAACAGTTGAGCCCAGAGCATACAGCAATAGAACTCTTTTTTAATGCTCAGATATCTCTTGCTGCCTGATCTTAAAACCCAGGTGAGGGGATTCCTGAGGTTTTCAGCCTGTTGCATACATGCACATATAAGCCTGTGCCTGTGAACCCTCCTCAGAATACAGGTTACCTTTGTCCTTGCAGCAGAAAGCATCCATTCAAAACGGAGGGCATTAATTTATTCTACAAACATTTATCGAACACCACCTCTGTGCCCATTGCTGTACTGGTTAGTAAAGAAGGCACTGTTACCCTTCAAAGATGGCAGCAACAGGGGAGCAAAGGGGCCCCAAAAGAGGCAGAAGGGGATGTGCCCACCCAAACTTGGAATTCACCATGGGCAAGTACTAGACTGGACCTTGCTGACTATGTCAAGAAATCTTTTGACTACTGTTAGGTTCTTAGCTATTCCTGTAGCAGCCTCTGCAATCCTTAGCATCATAGTCTTTACTCCAGTGATTTCAAGGGAGAGCAATTCCTACCCAAACCTCCAGCAGCTCTGCACCCTGCATTACTGAGAGCTGCATGGTCTCCTGTGTTCTGACTGCAGGCCTTACTCTACCTTGGAATTGACCACTCAGCCTTGAGGCTGAGGGTTACACATTTTGATTGTCAATGCATTTACTATAAAATGGAATCTGTTAGGAAAAACCTGAACTGTTACGCCTATAATACAGTGCTTTGGTTGGACCTGCATCTAGAAGACTCCTTCCAAATGAAGACTATATTTGGGGTCCAGCTTTTCCTCTACTTAAGGAATTTCATAATGATTACAGAGTCTTTGTGGGACAATATAGATAACTTATGTTCAAATATACAAATGGAAGCCCTGTTAGGGAGCTATACTCTGAAATCATAGCGCCTACACTGTATAAAAAAGTTCCATTAAACTTCTAAATATAACGTAGGAGAACGTCATAATTTTTCTATAATTTACAATTACATCAAATTATACTTACATTCTTACCAGTCTTCTGGACTTCTTTAACATGAAAGATACAGTTTTTCCACTTAGCCCTGCTTATACCATGCCTGAGAGGAGAGAGAGAGAAAAGTCTCAGGCCAGAGCCACATTGTCAGAAGCACTACTTTCCTGCCATGTACACTAGAGAGTAAAATCCACAGATTATGGCCCAATAAGGCTTATTCCCTAGCAGTCTCTTTGACATTTTTCCTTTTTTTTTTTTTTTTTTGAGGCAGAGTCTCGCTCTGTTGCCCAGGCTGGAGTGCAGTGGTGCAGTCTCGGCTCACTGCAAGCTCCGCCTCCTGGGTTCTCGCCATTCTCCTGGCTCAGCCTCCCAAGTAGCTGGGACTACAGGCGCCCGCCACCACACCCGGCTAATTTTTTGTATTTTTAGTAGAGACTGGGTACGGGGTTTCACTGTGTTAGCCAGGATGGTCTCGATCTCCTGACCTTGTGATCTGCCCGCCTTGGCCTCCCAAAGTGCTGGGATGATTTTTTTTTTCCTTTTTTTATTATTCCAAAAGGCAATATATGCTTATTATACCACATTCAAACATTTCATACAGATCTCAAAATCCCCTGTGTAGTCAAACGCTAAGCTATTTATTGTGTTCTTCAAAAATCATTTTTTATCTACATGCTGTTGGCAACTTGATCTTTAAAATGTCTTGAACAGTTTTCCTATATGAGTTCTGTATGAACTCATATAGATCTTCCATATTGTTTTTGAAAAGCTCTATAGTATTCCATTTTATTGATGAATTGTCATTTAATGTATTCACTGCTGCACTGAAAGACAAATACGTCTTTTCCAATGTTTAGCTGATAAAACAAAGCTGAAGGAAACTTCTTCATACATCTTTCTTTGCATGCTTATAGGAGTATTTCTGTAGGACTACTTTATAAAGGTGGGAAAGGTGTTTCTTTTTTTTTTTTTTTTTTTTTTTTTTGAGATGGAGTTTCACCCTTGTCACCCAAGCTGGAGTGCAGTGGTGCATTCTCGGCTCACTGCAACCTCTGCCTCCTGGGTTCAAGCGATTCTCCTGCCTCAGCCTCCCCAGTAGCTGGGATTACTAGTGCCCACCATGCCCAGCTAATTTTTGTATTTTTAGTAGAGACGGGATTTCACCATATTGGTCAGGCTGGTCTCAAACTCCTGACCTCAAGTGATCCACCCACCTCAGCCTCCCAAAGTGTTGGGATTACAGGCGTGAGCCACTGCGCCCAGCGTGGAAAGATGTTTCAATAGGCATAAGCATTCTAAATTTTAGTTGATATTGCCAATTTGTTCTCCAAAAAATTTCCAACAAATTATATTCACACTGGCAGTATTTGAGATGATCTAGTACCTTATTGGATATCATCAGCCATTTTTAATATTTCTCAATCCAAAAGTGGAATCTCATTTATTGTCATTTACTTTTCTTTGATTAATGAAGTTGATCATCTTTTCAAATATTTATAAGTCATTTGTATTTCTCTGTGACTTGCCTGTTGAGATATTTTGAGCATTTTTCTACTAGATTGTTTATCTTTTTCTTATCAATTTCTGGGAATTCTGTATATTTCTAAACATTAGCCCCCTTTTTATATGTTACATATACTTTTTACAGTTGTTACTTCACTTCTTTTTTTTTATTATTTTGTTTTTTGAGACAGGGTCTTACTCAGGCTGGAGTACAGTGGCAGGATCTCAGCTTACTGCAGCTTGACCTCACAGGCTCGAGCAATCCTCCCACCTCAGCCTCCTGAGTAGCTGGAACTACGGGCATGCACCACCACGACTGGCTAATTTTTGTATGTTTTTGTAGAGACAGGGTTTCACCACATTGCCCAGCCTGCTGTCGAACTCCTAGGCTTAAGTAATCCATCCATCTTGGCCTCCCAATGTACTGGGATTACAGGCATAAACCACCATGCCCAGCCTTAATTCTATTTTTTAAGATGTAATACATTTATTTATTCAGTTTTCAAACAGTACATAAGTCTTTCCCTCAGTGCTTTCTCCAAGCCACCTAGTTCTTCCTAGAAGCAACAAGTAACATTAATTTTTTGTGTATTCTTCCAGGCATAGTTTAGCATATATAACCAAGGTACAGAGGAAGGTATTCAAATACAGTTTGAAAAGCCATGCCATTTTCTCTTTCTGCGTCTCTGATATCTCACTTGTATCCTTTTGGTTCCAGCTGCGATACTATGACTCAGGTGAGGACACGAGCTGTAAAGGCCACATTGATCTGGCTGAAGTAGAAATGGTCATCCCTGCTGGCCCCAGCATGGGAGCCCCAAAGCACACAAGTGACAAGGCTTTCTTTGATGTAAGTTGATCTTACTTCTCTTTTTCTGGCTCTGCCTGCACATCATTCTATCTGTCTCAGACCAAGAACGATGGAGCCCTCAGAGCAATTGGTGGTGACTACAGATGGATGACAGACCCCCTTGGCTATGGGAATTGTTCCAGAGCTTGAACTCAGCATTATTGACCCCAAGGCTATCCTCTCTTCCTGTCTGTATGTCTCAGAAAAGCTGTATACTGCTTTATGCAAAAGGAGTCCAGCCGCACATGGAAACAGATGAACTCCTTGTTAAATGCTGTTAGTTCAGTTACTACCTACTTTCAAGAACAGATGCTATTTCCCTAGTATTCAGTGGTCTTCATGCTTGACCACCCACAAAAGACTGTCCTTAGGCACACATGAGAAGTATCTACCCTAACATCTTCAGCAGCCCTCACGTGGGCTATGGGGCACTTTATAGGCCACATAATAGAAGGGGACTTATGTACTCCCTGGAGTCAAGCAGGGCTTCATAAAGAAGATAGGTCATCCTTTATTGCCCTGCTCAGGCCATGAGATCGTTTTCCTGACAGTGGGCTTCCAATATGGCTCCAACTGAAGAAAGGGGACACAAAGGCCAACTTTATGGTATGGATGAATCTCAGGCATCCCCCTGGAGCACAAGGAGCTCCCTCACCTTTAGTGCATTGGTGCAGTGCATGGGAGAGGTTAAAGGCACCATTCATTGCTGACCCTTCCTCCTTAGTCAAAGAAGACACTAAGAAAATGCAAAGTAAGGCACTCTCAGTGTGTCTCCTTTTCCTGCCAGTACCCTTCTATCAACATCCCCTATCACTCTAGAGACCAGAAAAGTAAAGGCAGTAACAGTATGGTAGTTGAGGAGAAAAATTCATACGGAGGTTCTGGGGCAGTATGGAAAAGAAAGGTCACAGGGACTGATTTACCACTTACCCAAATCTATAAAACAGCCCTGCCCTTCATCTCTGGTTCTCTGTCATTTGGTTTTGTAGCTCAAGACCAGCAAACGTGTGTATAACTTCTGCGCGCAGGATGGACAGAGTGCCCAGCAATGGATGGACAGGATCCAGAGCTGTATCTCTGATGCCTGATGCCCATGGTCAACCTATGCTGAAGAAATGGAGGAACTCATGCTGCCAGATAGAAAAAAAAAAGCATGGATCCTTGAGGAGCTGACGACACGTTATCCCAGGGCCTGAGGTTCTCCTGCCCAGTCCCTTCTTGCAGGGGTTGCTATATCTACTTAACCTGAATAGGTGTTTCACACAGGTCTGGTCAATAGCCCCATGCACTCCCTATATCTTGCACTACATTTTTCTAACAGAGTCTTAGTGGTTAATGATCAGAAGATGTCTCCTGAGCCAACTGTGAACCTCACCCAGGCAAAATGGCTACCACCTACTTGGGTCCTTCTTCATGAAAGCTATAGATCCTTTTTTGTTCTCCAGGGTCATAATTTGCTTGGAGACCTGTTTAACAAGCAAAAATCAAAACCCTCCAAGATTGTCTCATATTCTACCTAGACTAGGTTTCCTATGAGAGGCATCTACTTGTACTGCCTGACCTTTGAGATGCTCAGTTCTCTGGTGCTGCCAAAAGGTGCTTCCATGGTCCCTTCTCTGCCATTGGGGTTCACAACAAGAGATGTCATTGTTCAGTAGCAGGCAAAGAGGAAGCACACAGCATTATTCTGATGGAAAAAGATTATCCAGGGAATGGTACAATGACCAGCCCAATGCAGGAAAACACTACTTTCAAAACATTAAATTCTCTATCCAAAACGTTGAATTCTCTAGACCAGAGGTGCTCTGAGGATCCAGGGCCTTGTGTTCTTATGTATCTTCTGCTTCCTGACAGTTTCTTTTTCAAAATAACATGCAAAAAAAGCTGAATGCACTAACTCACAAAACAAACACTTGCACCGAACTCCCAATGAAGTGAAGATGTTGGAAAGACAGAGGCCAGCTATTTAGGACCACACACACCTGTGACAAGGGCTGTGTTGACCACAGTCACACTGTGGCATGACTGGATACCCAAACTACACTTCTACACATGAAAAGTAAGAACTGTCTTTAGATTTTCTTTACTTTGATAACTTGTGTTTGTTTAGCTTAAGACCCAAGAAATGCTGTTTGCTCATGGTAAACAGAAACAGCATCTTTGCTACAGCCACTGACACCAGCTGGCGTCATAGGTAGCTAGATCATTGCATTTGTTTTGAAATGTTAATATGTTAAATACTAAACTAATATTTCAAAAATGTGTATATATGATTTCTATATCCTTGCTTTTCAGATAGCCTGCTTATAATTTAATATAAATTAACTGATGCATTCATAAGATTTCAATAATGAAATGGTTCCCTTTTTTAAAAATAAAAATACATTGTCTTTGTAGATTAAAAATGTCGGAATTTCAAATTTAAAATTGTCTACACACTAGGAAATAGAACTGTGTTAATATATAAGAAATTCGGGGATAATTAAGAATGAAGGACTTTTCTATCATTTCCATTTTATAAATTGCCACCTGTGAAAATGGTTTTTGCACATTATTTGTATTTTTCTTTGTATATGAAATAATTTTTTGTACTTTGTAAAATATGGAGCCCATTGTACCTTCAGCTATTTGAGACTATACACAGTGCTTCTTTTGTAACTGGACTATTTTAACTTTCGTGAAGGCATTACATTGCCTCACATTCACTAACCACCTTGAATTAAATTTATTTCTTAAGAAAAAGCATCCCTCATTTACTGTGAACTGAAGTTCGTTCTGTAGTGCACAGCACGCAGGAGGGTAACACTCAGGATTCATACATGGGACTAAAGGTTCAAGAATAAAACAAAGCATGGCCCACTTTGTGCCTTCATTCTCCTAATGTCATCACTGCCCTTTGCTCAAGAAGTAACCAGGGATACTGAACATGTTAGCATGAGCTTCTGGGTTCCAGACACACTTCTGCAGAGTTTAGGTAAGAGACTTGAGGCCAAGATTCTCACATGTGCTGCCACTCCTACCACTGTCTAATAAGCTGTTTGAAATTGCTTAAGTCCCTTACCTATTCTGGGTCCATTCCACCACCTAGAGTATATAGTAATTTGTGAAAATTTTAGGCATGAGACATTGAAGTCTGAGCAGCAGATTTTTCTGCTTCAGGGAATTTTTTTTTTTTTTTTTTGAGACGGAGTCTCGCTTTGTTACCCAGGATCTGGAGTGCAGTGGCGCGATCTCAGCTCACTGCAAGCTCTGCCTCCCGGGTTCACACCATTCTCCTGCCTCAGCCTCCCAAATAACTGGTACTATAGGCACTTGCCACCATGCCCGGCTAATTTTTTGTATTTTTAGTAGAGACGGAGTTTCTCCATGTTCGCCAGGATAGTCTCGATCTCCTGACCTCGTGATCTGCCCTCCTCGGCCTCCCAAACAGGGAATTGTTAAACAGCACAAATGATCAGTGATTTCAGTTCTAGACAGTACTTCTCTGGTTAAGCCCATGAGTTTACCTCATGTAGCCAACAGAGAATGCAAGTTTCCATCTCAGGGCTGAGCCTTTAAGTCCTTTGCCATCCAGAGTCCTCTGAGCCAAGCAAGAGGACCCCAAAGAGCCACTGAGGCTCAAGGTGAGACAGTGACATATTCCCTGAGCTTTCAGTTCTCCTCAGTCTCAAGAGCATGCTGATCTAAGCCAAGGGCCCTCAAGCCTTTCCTTGGTCCTGGGCCTCTCAACAGCTACCATTACGCATTGCTGTGTCCCTGAGATTCAGTCAGGCGGGAAACAACTGGGATTAGGGGTTGAGTAGAAGCTGTGTTCACAGTGTCAGTATCTGGATGCCCTTCATTCCTCAGGTCTTAACTGTAAAAGGGGAGAATACTGGGTTCTGTAAACCAAAAATAAAATTCTAAGACCCCCAGATAACTGAATGGATCCTTCTCAGCCAAGGGAGTTCCAAAGAAACCTGAAAAACGAGTTCCAGTCATGATGCTGGGGCAAGGAGGTGGACAGGCCTCATTACAGCCTCTCCCTTTTGGAGTTTAGACACAACAGACTAGCATTAACATTAAAACAGATCTTAAGACTGACAAAATAGACTGTCACAATAAAATACCAAATTCCAACCTGACTCTAGTATAGCATCACATAACAGATAGTAAGCCCTAAAGGAAATCAAAGCTTTTTTAATCCCAAAATACATTCCTTTTACGTATTTTGAAATGGCCCTGCAAAGCTGTATCTTGGGGGGATTTACATTCTATAGAGGATCCCTTTCCCTTCCCAGGTCTTTTTCTGATCCTGAAGAGATTAGCTAAGAGTCTAGTGCCTTTTATTAAATGTCTGAATAGGAAATATTTGCTATCTGTTGCCTCTAAGGGCAGCCACCTATGAGACTTCGTCTACATAACAAACTAGGTCTCTACAACCCCTTATCTTAACCTAGACTCTCAATTTCAGCCTTTTAGATAATAACTTCTTCAACCAATTGCCTATCAGAAATCTTTCAATCCACCTGTGACCTATAAGCTTCCGCCTTTCCAGGCCAGACCAATTTGTACTTCACATGCATTGGTTGATGTCTTATGTCTCCCTAAAACATATAAAAACAAGAGCCTTTAACCCAACCACCTTGAGCTTGTATTCTCAGGACCTCCTGAGGCTGTGTCCTGGGTCACAATCCTTAACCTTGGAAAAATAAATCTCTAAATTGATTGAGACCTGTCTCATATACTTTTTTGCTTTACAGTTCCAAGGGAGAAAGACCAGGGCTTGGCTGCCTGCAAGAGCCTTAACAGGGCCCTTCCTTCTGTGGTCCCAGTGACAAAACCCTTCTAATATGGGCTCTTGAAAGATGCAAACTCAAAGGAGCACATAGCATAAAGTCACTTCCCAACCCCTTTGACCCAAATCCTTTATTCCCACCTCCCAAACCCCTTCACTCTACTGTCTCCACCCCGGAGCTAGAGCTTAAACTGCTAATAACATGGCAGATTTGCTTCTCAAGGGAAACTGACATTTTTAGGTATTTAATCAGGGGTTCTTATAAGAGTTGTTAAGTAGCCCTATCATCCCATAAAGAATTTCTGAAAGATCCCAAGTTGATAACAGGGAAGTGCCCTCAGCAATCCCAGCCAAAGCTATTAATTAAGCAGTGAATAAAACAGTGTTCATGAAGAGATAGGGTTTACAGCAGCACCATCAAGCATATATAATGCAAGCCACATAGGTATCTTTAAGTTTAAAAAAAAGATTACATTAATTTTAATATATTTGTTTTTACCATATATTTACTCCAATATATCAAAAATATTTTAATGCGTAAACAATACAAAAAAGTTAATGAAATATATTCCTTGTTCATACTAAATCTTCAAAATCTAGTGTGTATTTTATACTTACAGCACATCTGAGTTTGGACTAATATGTTTTTTTCAGAGGCCACTTCTGATAAAACAAATGCATATCATGTTTCTATACCAGTTCTCCAACATCAACTGGACATCCAACAATCCAGTTCAAGTCTGACACTAACTCCCCAGATTTAGCACAGTCTCCACAAGTTCAGGTCTGTCTTTAAGACTGCCCCCACTTCAAACACTAGTTGCAAGTTCCAAGGGCCACCAGAACTTCTAACCAACCAGCTATAAATATGAAGGTTTCCACAACCCCCTTCTCAGGTTCAGTAATTTGCCAGAACAAATCACATAACTCAGAAAAACACTTTACTTACATTTACCAGCTTATTTCTAAGCGATAAACCTCAGGATCAACCACAGGAAAGAGATGCACGGTATGGAGGGAGGCAGCACACCACCTGCCCAGCATCTGATGTGTTCACCAACCCAGAGGCACTCCTTATCTCATTATTCAAGAGGTTTTACAACCCAGTCTCCAGTTACCCTCCCTCCCCCGAGGTTGGGGGTGGCTGAAAGTTCCCACCTTCTATTCACTAGTCTGGCCTTTCAGACGACCAGCACGCATCCTTAACCTAGCTAGGGACCCCACCTGAATCACCTTGTTAGCATAAACTCAGGTGTTGCGAAGGGCAGTTATGAATAACAAAAGATACTCCTAAAGGGTGGGGTGTGTTAGGAATAACTTTTAAAAGAAACTACCACTTCAGAAATTTCTAGGGTTTTAGACACTGTGTGCCAGGAACCCAGAACAAAGAACAAATATATTTTGTACTCTACCACAACTAGCCTTATTTCCACTGCTACCACACTAAACAATACATATTTACAGCAAATAGTCTGCTCACAGCAGAGCCGTGCTGGGTGGCAAGAGACCTGGCTTCTAGTGCTGGCTGTCTTCTAATCTCATCTATGACCTTGAACCAGTCCCTTAACTTTGCTGGGCTTTGACTTATAAAAATGCAGGACACAGATGATCTGTTACTTTGTGATTCCAAATATTTACCTTGGCAAGGACTTAGTTTCCAAACTGAGATTTAAAGGATTTGCTGAAAAATCCAAATCATCTAAATCAGTGCTTCTCAAATTATAATGCATATATGAATCATCTTGTTAAAATGAGATTCTGATTCAAGAGGTTTGGGGTGGGGCTTGACATTCTGCATTTCTAATGAGGCCAGTGCTGCTGGTCCAAGGACCACAGCACTGGTCCTTGGTAACAGAATTGTTCTTGGAGTAACAGAAATGTGTCTCAGTCCTCTGAGAAGCAGATGCCTGATAGGCAGGAACTCATGGAAGGCTGGAAGAGCCAAGAGACCATGATGCTGGTATAATCCTTTTGAAAAAGAAAGGGAAGCAAAGTTGAGTGGAGAAGACTTGGATTGCAGTGCAGTTCTAAGGAAGTTCAGCAAGGCAGATAAGAAGTCCTTGAGCCATCAGGGGAATCCCACATATTCCAAGAATGGGCCTTCCTAGGATCCCTGCCATGCTCAATCATTGACTAGGAGCAGTTCATGGGAAGCATGGTTTTGGTGGAAACACAGTAATAGATTTCAGAATATACCAGCTGAGGCCAACAGTCAATGACAGTCACTGCAGTCAGAAATCTTTCATGGTTGTCAATGTTAAAGTTGTCAGAATCAAAATGGAGTCACTTATGTTTATAAAAAGCAAAACAAAACAAAACAAAAAAGCCTGATAAATTGAGCCAGGAAAAGCTATGAAGAGAGAGTACTCATGCATAAATACCTGATAACAAAAACTATCATAAAAAACTGCAAAACTTGCAACCTTGCACAAAGACCATTGCAACCTTACACAAAAATTACTCCTTTGAAGGCATCTGTCCAGCAACTGCCTGTCCAGCCTTGGATTAGTGTCACCCTTGTTATTGATCCTTGTAGCCAGGATAATTATCTCAAAACAATTATGTATTGATCCTCACTTTTCCTTTAAAAAACCTTTGTGGTCCTTTACCTCCCTGAATACACACATAGCTTACTATGGTGTTATATAGGTATTCCCATTGCAATGCCCTTGATGTAGTTTGGATGTGTGTCCTCACCCAAATCTCATGTTGAAATGTAATCCCCAGTTGGAGGTGGGGCCTGGTGGGAGTTGATTGGATCATGGGAGTGGATTTCTCATGAACGGTTTAGTACCATCAACTTGGTACTATTTTCATGATGGTGAGTAAGTTCTCCTGAGGTTTAAAAGTGTGTAGCATCTTCCCCGTCTCTCTCTTGCTCCTGCTCTGGCCATGTGACATGCAAGTTCCCACTTGGTCTTCTACCGTGATTGTAAGATTCCAGAGGCCTCCCCAGAAGCAGATGCCACTATGCT